TTTCATACGGCCAGCTGGGACGGATGTTCATCACTTAATTATAAAATTTTAAACTTTTAAGACGTTTTGAGTGAAATTAATTCTGTAGTTCAGACACACTATAAAAACACATTATCATTTGTGACTGAACAAGCCAAAGCAAACGTCTCCTACTGTCTCATCAGTGTGGCTGTGTGACTCGACTGATGTTAGATACTTGAGGCTGATACTGATCTGTGAGTGTTGAGAATAGAGTCCCTTTAATTGCTTTTATTTTTTTAAAGCACTTCCACCAAGATATATAGAGAGCAGCTCATTATACAGTTAAAAAGTGCTCTCAGTGTAGTGGTGTGGGCGGCAACCAGAATTTTAGAAATATTGAGGCCATAGGTGCATCACATCAAAAAAAAAAAGTATATTATTATTTAGTTTAAAAAAATATATATTTACTCATTCAACAGCAAAATCATGTTTTATGTAAGAGGTAAATATTGTTTCAAAATCATCCTCTGACAACCAGGAATACAATTCTGATGGAGAGACATTGAGTCAGTCCTCTCAGCTGATCTGAGTCCCAGATGAAATGAATCTGTAATATTATCGTAAAGTGGCACTGAATTCTTGGACAGACTCTACGGTTTGCCGACTTATTTTTTGGAGTCAGACAGACCAATCAGGCACTTCCTGATCTAATTTAGGAAACAGTTCTTTTTTTAGCCAGAGCACTGAGCAGTTTGATTTGAATTCGATGTAAACATGGTCACATTCAGACCAGCAGAAATGGATTTTGTGGCCTCATGTGGGAATAAATACAACAAGCGTTGTTCCCACTTACAAGCTTTAAACACGATATATAAAAAATATTCATCTTATTAAATCAGTGTTTCCCACAGAATTTGACTTGTGGCAGTAGCTGGGTGGGGGGGTGGTGTGGGGTGAGGGAGAGAGAGAGAGAGAGACAGAGAGGGAGAGTGGAGAGTGCGGCATGGAAGGTCTGAGCGAATCAATGCGCTGCATGTGCACATCTCTACAATGACATACAAGTTTTTAAAGTTCAAATCTGTGACTTTTCCACATTAAAATGCCTAAACATGACTAGACCTATGTTATATATGTTGCTGAGTTGTGTTCTTACATTATCCCAAATGTTTCCAAACCTATGCACACGTGTCAGTGTTGTGGTTGCCTGCCAAAAGGTCAAAACTGACTTTTCATCCTGTTTCAAGCCACATTTTTATGATGCACTGGTTAAATCTTGGTCATTTTCAACTATGCTGTTTAACCAGATGAAGGATTTCAGTCATCGGACGTCAGAGAAACGAGCTGAGCAAACATCACAGACCACCTGTGTCCTCTGAACAGTGACGGTGAAACACTGACTTTTAATGTGAAACTGCTTTATTCAGAGTTTTTTCTGGTTATAATCACCAGGTCTGTTTGTTTTGGGGAGGAGGACACGACACCTCTGTGGATAAATCGTCTGACACTGAAGGAATCCAGACTGGGAGGAGCTGACTGCAATGGTGGTGAAGACAACAACTCCCATGATCCCACACTACTTCACGACATCACCAAAGCGTCTTTTGTTATTGTTTTAATCGAGAAACCACAAGCACCAAAAGTTACATACTGTCAGTTTAACCATCTGAAAGGGTCAAAAAACTAGAAAACCAATATGTGGCCGTCAATGTTAGCTCTGCGTTAGCCTGAACAAGCTAATGTTAGCTTTTGTGAACATGTGTGAGGAGGTTGCTACAACAGATGTCAGCTGTCACAATTCACAAACAATAACAGTAGTTTCAGGACGTCAACATATATGTCGTTAATACAAAGTTAAAACAAGTGAAACTCACTCAGCCTGAGCTCGGTACAGATCTGGCGTCTGTCTCTGAGCTGCTTAGATTAATCTGAGCTGTTTCCTCCTTTCATTTGAAATGCTCTGTGGCAACATTTGTAAACTGGCTTTTGGTCGTCTATAACTGACCCATTCAGACAAGTCACGGCGGACACGTTGCTCCGCCTGAACTTGCTGCTGCCATTCCACATGTCGATAATGTTTATTGTGCCTGTCTTCTTCTTTGATTCATTTGATATCAGACTAGGACGGGTCATTATACTGCCCTCATCAGTCCTGGAAGAATCACATCTGCGGTACCTACGACATCTACGCTACCGTCGGTACCCACAGCGCTGTAGGAAAACACGCAGGCTACCATCACATTTTTCAGAATTTTTGCATCGACGTTTCGTGATTGAGTCATCAGCTGTAGTCTGTTGTCTGATGTTGGGTTTTTTATCAGAGCTCCTTCACTGTAAACCGCTGCCTACTGTGACTGAGGCTGATAAAGGCAGTGAGACAAACAGACGGTGAAGCTGAGGAGCGTGAACCACAACAACTGAAACGCTGGGTACAACTGACGACGACTGTAGTTACTGTCTGTAGGATCATCACCGCAAGTGAGCACTTTCATATGACATGCATGGGATCCAAGTGTAAGTGTTTGACTGTAGTATTCTCCCCAGAGGAGGCTAAATAAAATATATAACATGCTCATGGTGGCACTAGTCAAACTGAAATTTCTGAAAATCTCAAAAAGTATCAAACCATTGCAGAAGATGATGAGCTCAGAGGTAGAAGAGGAGGGCCTGTGGAGAATATGATGGAAGTATGACATTTATATTTGTATCATGTATTCATTAGAGGAAGGTCACAGTCTCCTCATCTCTGAACAGATGTGATGTTTTTGTCTCTTCGGTGCTGTGGAAGCGTCAGTGACATTTACAGACAACACTTGATTCATTTAATCCAGACCGAGAGAATAACATGATACACTTCTGTAGTTTACCTCTGGTTCATATTCTCATTGGACTTTTACAAAGGAACCAGGAGGAGTAAACCTGAAGCCACAAGCACTGACACCGACTCACTGATTGGACAGATGTGGTGTCATCATTCTGCATCATCAGAGCATCTTCAGGACTTCAGTGCCTCTCATGAGCGTATACATGATCTCTGGTGGCGCAGAGAGCTCATGAAGATGTACTGTAACTGATTATGAGCATTATTAGTATTATCACTGTCGACAGAGACAGGATGAAAACAAGACGTCTTGTAAAGCAACGTTCTGCCCTCATTACTGCGGGATCACTCTGAACCGTCGCAGTCTGCAGAGAATAAACACAACAGAGCGAAGTTGAATGCTTTTTCACTGTCTGTCACTGTCACTGTTGGATGAGATTGTGCTTTCTGAACGGCAGATTTATTGCTAGTTCAGTTTTTGAATTATTGCTGAAATCCCACATCTACTATCACTGTTTGGATTAGGACCTTGTGGTCCTTTTCTTTCCCTCTTGTGTTCTGCTGTTTTCCCCTCCCTCATGTGTTTGTTTGTCCCCAGTTTGTCCTCTGTGTCTGTGTCTGTATTTGTATATGTGTGTGTGTGTGTGTGTGTGTGTGTGTGTCAGCTGGGCGTGGCTTCCTGGTTCCTGCTCCCTCCAGTCTCCATACTCACCTGCCTCTCATCATACAATCAACTGCACAGCCTGCTGCAGTACAAAGGACCGGTCCAGCTCACCATTCTTGGCCAGATCGTTCCGTCACGTCGAGTGGTATAAACGTTACGGTCAAACGCTGCTGCAAACTTGTTGCTCTTTTTTTTTTTTTTTTTTTTTTTTTTTTTTTTTTGGTAATCCTGTTTGTTTCCCTGTGCACCAGATCCTTCCATCTACAACCCCGCCGTCTGCCACGCTCTGCCCAGCCTCAGTCCCACCTGCTGTGTTTGCCTCACCAGCCTGCCCAGCTCTAATGCATTCTGTCTGTGTGCCCGAACTCCGCCATCATCTGCCATACTATCTACAGTCTCTCGCCGCCATCGCCATCGCCATCGCCATCACCATCACCAGCCTTACTCCCCACAGTCAACATTTATAATACAGACTTGCTTTACCACCATCCTGTGTTCTGCTCTGTGGGTTCAGCTCCACACTAAAACCTCACAATCACCAAATAGTGTGGACGGTCCGTTTTGCCTTCAGGCCATCAGCAAACCACACCACAGTTTGACGGACAGCTTTTTCACCAGCCCAAATGAAGCACACCGACTACCTCAGATAAGCACAAAAACTTTTTTGCGATAAGTGGACCTTTTTTTTTTTTTTCACTCCTCATATTTAAATCAAGAAATTGAAGATGTGCATAAAAACAGGTGGATGGAAACACTCTGAAATTACCTCAACTACTCACTCGCCAACATACCAAGATATCTGCATGAAGCTATCAGGCTCTACCATGTTGAACAACAATATCCAGCATTTGAGGTCCTTGGAAAGTGATGCACACACCTGTCATTGTCCATGCTGCACAGCACGAGCTGAAATATTTTCTACTCCGATGAAAGTGGAATAGTTTATATCCGTGACTGCTTCAAATACTGACCTACAGCTCAGACTTTCATCCTCTAATGATAGTTGCAGAGCTGTGAAGGGCCCGTCTCTGCTGACCTCAGATCGCTGTGATTCCTGCTCACAGCGAAGAGCCTTCTGGCTGCTGGCTGAGTGCGCCGGAGAGCTCTCTGTGTCTGTGTGTTGTGCTTGTATTTAAAAGACACTTCAAACATGCCAAGCAACACAAACAGTCGGCGTCCATTTCCCCGGCTTCAGAAAACACAGCTGACTGAAAGTTACACACAAACTAATCCTGCTCGTGAACGACAAGAGAGAGTGTGACACAGATCAGTTTCCTTCACCTCAGTTTTCAGCAGTTTTTGATTTCATGCCAAAGATTAAAGACCACTCCTCAGATTCCGAGTCTCTTGTGATTCAAGGTTGAAATCCCGGCTCCACATCACAACCAAAATCTAATCCACTGTCCTTGGATTGAGGCCAATCCGTCCAGATTTCACTGAAACCTGCTCTGCTCTGAAATACACTGACAGAAATATAAGCAGAAATGGAAAAATATTTCTGACGGGGGTAAAAAAAAAACAAAAAAAACAAAACAAAAAAACAGTAGAGCAACTTACCGTCATCCTTCACCAGAACCTCCTTCTGGCACATGTCCTGCACATTCACAGTGCAGTTGACGATGAACTCTGGGGTGGAGCAGTCGTGTGTCATCTCCTCACACTGGTAGCACTGAATCTGCAGAGCCAGCCCTGCAACCCACACACACACACACCCACACCCACACACACACACACACACACAAACAATCAATCAATTATTGAATCCATCTATTTTCATTATCATATCATTTTCACCAGGTTCATATCACTTGCTCATTTCTCATTTACATCCTCAGTTATTTATTTCCTCAATTGTCATAAATAAAGAATTCATGGGAAAGTTTTATCTCAAAGTGAAGTCCAGTTTTATTTTGGTGAATATTCTGGTTTCTTCTGCTCTGACCGTTTCAAATTGATGCGACAGATGTCTTCAATTATTCAGCTGAATTTGAGCTGGTGGTACATTTATCTTACCAGCATGTTGTTGCAGCATTTCATCATGTCTGGCTCTACTTAGGTTCAGGATAGTTGATATTTCACCACCTCTGCTGTGAAGACGGCGTGTTTACAGTGAACTCTGTTAGTTAGAGCGGTAGAGAGTTGCCCTCAGGTCATGTGAGATGATGACAGGTCGTGACAGATATGCGTCATTACAGTAGCATTTCAAATGTTTCGGCTTTTAATGTAGCACCGGGTTGATATTGCTAAATTATAGCACATAGAGTATTTACAGTATAGTCATTATTCTATGTGCAGTGAATTCAATATTCTCCAAACTGAGACATTTTCACCTTTTAATAGATGATACAGTATAAAATTCACTTCCCACTTTATAGATTTCAAGTGCAATTTACAGTGTGGGAGGTAACTAAGTACATTTACAACTACATTTGAAGAACTGCTACTTTACTTATGCATTTCCATTGTATGTTTATTATAAACTCCACTGCACTTCACTGCAATTTTTTACTGCACCACATTTATTTAGTTACACTGCAGATACAATTTTCATCCAAAATATATGATCAGCTCATAAAATGTGATGCATTTATATCATTAATCTACCCAACACGATATAAAGCAGTTACACTCAGTTCCACCTTAACCAGCCACAACGTCAAAATTACATTTACATTAATATCCTAATAATAACAATCCAATAATCTAATATATGATTGTATAATAATACTGAACCACTCTGGAAAGGTCAGTTTGCATAATTGGTACTTCGACATTTCATGTAGCATTTCACTCATGCAAATATTTGAATTCAAAACATTTATTTGTAATAGATTATTTCTTCATAGTTGAATTGGTTCTTTCACTGAAGGGTGTGAATACTTCTCCATCACTGCCAGAGACTGATAAAAATCAATCGCATCCTTGGCAGAAAAAGGAAAACGCACCGTTTCACTGTGATTGCTGCGTAACGTTATAGGAGACTATGAACAGGGAGATATTTCACAGTTCAAAGTGGAGTGAGACTGGGCTCTACACTGTTGATCAGCAGTCTCCATCAAAACTTACCAGGTTCGTTATAGACGCACCGGAGCGCAGAGGCACAACCAGCTTTGGAGACCAAAATTTCTAAATGGCAAATAAAGAATGGCTCTTTAATCTAAGTCGGCTAAATAGAAATTTGAGTTTTCGACGAGAAAAATTCAGAAACTGCTCAACTTTAAAGAAAGACAACGTTAGGTTTGCGCGGACTCCTCCTGTGCGCGCTGCGTTTCCCACTTTACTATTTACCCAAACCTGAACACCACCCCTCCACCAGGCCCTGCGCTCCTTCCTCAAAGACAAAAGAAAAGAAAAAAAAAAGCCAGTTTGGAAGTTTTGCTGTTTAACCATAGTCTAACAGCCGCTTTAAATCCCGTGAAGTGGCGACAGAGAAAAGCTGCGTGACCATACCTGAGCTGAGGAAGAACAGGAGCAAAGTTGAGACCGTGAACAGCCGCATCGTCCGCTTAGTGCAACTCTGAGCAGAAACATGGGAGACGGATGTTCGCCGGCTCGGAGGCGCAGAGACAGAGCAGCTGGCAGCCTGGCATGGTGAGCCTGACACCTCCTGCGATGCCTCACATATCTTATCCGCTGCTACGCGCGCTCACACGTGCGCGTACACGTCTGCACGACTTGTGTACCATGTGATCAAAAGGTGTGTGTTCAGAAATACCTTCTTCAACCTGTTATTTTCTCTATATTAAACTATATGATGACTATGGACATACAGTATATTATATCTGTGCATCCCATTAGACAACATTTGCTGCTGCTGCAAGGAGCCGATTTCACCTCTGGGATCAATTAAGTTTCATGAACTGTCAAAAATGATCTAACGGACAGGAATAATGTCTGAGAAGCCTGTGTTCCTTCTCACTGAGCCAAACAACTCCAGAATCTTAATTTGCTTTGTTCACAACTCATCATTAAGCAGAAATTAGACCATAAACTAACAGTACAGATTTAGTGCTGTGACCTCCAAAAAGACCTCCCCAGTTAATTTTATTTATCTCAGGGCTAAAAATCAGTTTATTACCATCCCTGAGTTTTTATCTCCATTTCACACAGTCACCCAATAGATAGAATCTGTTAAAGATAATAGCATCAATCCTCTTCTGTGATTATAAAATGAAAGGATTCTTTTTCATTCATTGCTCCTGGACATAGGTCAGAGGTCACGTACAGGCACCAGAGGGTGTGGGAAGCTAAATCAAACCTTAAAGCCTGAAGTTATTGTGACATGTTATACAGCATAAGTTTTATTCAGCCAGTTAAAAACCACCAGTGTATGTAGGACTCACTAAAAATAAACCACAGTGCGCTTGTTCTTGGCAGCCGAAAAATGAAGTCAACACTGAAGTGACAAAATCTGCAGTTCCTCTAATGACCACTAGAGTCTGGCTCCAACAGTGAGTCAATCCCCATAGACTCCCGAGTTAAAATGCCCAACTTTACAGCAGTAATAAACATGTTTACAGCCTTTTACAAAAAACAGTTTTGGTCTCTAGAGCTCATTTCCTCCTTCATGACAACTGTTTATATAACTCACCTGTTCACATTTTATTAAGGCTTAAAGTTCTGCATAATTAAGGGTGTGGCCTCTTTGAGTGACAGGTGGGTGCTGTCACAGTTGGTAAGCCATTCGGTGTCTAGCTGCTTGGCGTCACCTTAGCTAATTCAAGTCATTGAACGTGACCTCTCTACTGTGTTTGTTATGTTAGCGCCAACATATTTTGACAAAAAAAAGATATCACTGTCCCTGTTCCCGGAAATTAAGTCCATATTTAATGTGTGTCTCCAGTGACACTGTTTAGTGCCAAAGCAGAAAGTACTATCTGGATTAACCCTTTGAAACCTGAGCTTCAAAATGTCCACCTGGATTTCTTTGCTTATTTTGACTATAAAAAAGGTCAGAAAATGTCCTGTGAGTAAGTGCTTTGTCCATTTTTCCAGAATACTTGGAACTTTCAATATCTGGCAGTTATTTTCAATTTACTGCATGTTAAAACACTGAAAAACAGGTTAAATGAAGGAGAAACACGGAAACAGAATTTGAATTTTGAGTTTTGAGTTTTAGTAAAGAAACACACTGAAACTGTACATGAATAAGACGTTTTCCATCTTAAATTTGAAATTTGAAAAGTATAAAACAATTTACAATACAATTTGTGAACTTACAATAAACTTATAGTGCATAACAGGCCATAAAAATAAAACTATAGGCTTTCCCCACACAGGACAATTGCTCCTCTCTGGCTGCAGACTCAAAGATCTTGGTGGTGCTGCCAGTAGCAGTTCCTCTCTGGCTGCAGTCACAGGCCCACACCAGATTCCTGACACTGCCAGGCAGCGCTCTTTTTACAGAGCTTGCAGCACCGTCGCCCCATGCTGGCTCTGTTAGATTTTGTGTGGCCGCTGCTTGTGGAGACAGGCAGATGTTTGTTAGCTGGGGTCTTCTGTGGGCCATTTTTCACATCAACTCCATCCAAGGAGGTGCACAGTAAGCTCCTCCTGTAATCGCTGACGTCATAGGATTCTCTTGCTACGATCTCTAACACCATCACCGGAGCCTCCAGCATCCCTACGGCTGAATGTGAGCTCTGGTAGATAGATAGATAGATAGATAGATTGAACTTTATTCATCCCCGAAGAGAAATTCAATTATCTAATATCTCATCAAAACATAAAAATGTGGTGGACACGTGCATATAATAACACACACAGAATAATTTGTTACACAAACAAGACTTGGTAATGTAACGTTGCACTATTCTAAAAAAAGTCACCAAACAAACAATGCATGTGCCATATTTCATAGTGCATGAAGCGCACATTTATCCATAAAAAGTACAAATACACACATACTACACTACACTACAACACTACTACTACACTACACACTACTACACTGTTCTAAAAAAGTCACCACGCAATACAAGCTAGAGAAAAGTTAGAGAGAGCTTCATTCATTCAGAAATTCAACTTGGAAATTCAACTCGGCTAACGTTACCTTTTTTCGCCAGAAGTTGCTCCTTCGGTTGCTCCTTCGTCCTCACACCCAGCTGCGAACCTCCGCGGAGGTTTTGTTAAACGGAAGGACCGTCTTGCTAACATTTTGAATAAAAACACTTTCCCGGGCTTATATATAAGCGGGAGTGAAATTACCGTAATGACACCTATATGCATATAAAGCGCAAGGTCTTAGCTTTCAGAAACCGTTGGAATTTTTCCGATTGCTCAAACCGTTACCGTCGTCGACGACACACTCGGTTTTAAAGGGTTAAAGAAGCTATCTGTAAATTTTGCTATTGCTATATAGCTAGCGTTACCATTAACTGCTTTTTACTTACCAGTCTTGACAAGAGCTTCAACCATTATCTACAAGACAAGAGGTTGTCTACGTCTTCAGAGCAGACTGGATGCTACAGTGACTCAGTATCGGAAAATGTAAAGGCAACTTACTTCAGTAGAAGAAAATAAGTTATACAAATAGAAACAAAACAAGAGAGTTGTTTTCCACCTCTGGAGACAGATCTTGGTGAGTAAAGGAATGAAGTTTGATGCTGAATTTGCAACATTTCCTATACTGCTAAGTAAACAACTGTTAATGCTAATGTTATTTATGTAGCACTAGCAAAACTTACAAATAGCTCCTTTCAAAAGTGGAAAGTAAGGGTGGAGGCAGGGTTGTTGGTTGGGTGAATGTCTAACTTTCGCAAAGGGGCCTGGAGGTTTCTTCCTGTCACTGACCTGCAGTTCATGTTCTTATTAACCATGATCTTTTTCTAAAATGAATCAAGGGTTTTGTTGCCTAATCCTACTGTGGGAAATATTTTGAACTCAGCATGTTTGTTTTAATTACTTATGAGTGCTTATGTAATACACACCAGGAAATAATTGAATATAGAAAGTAATGGCACTGGAACGTGTGATAACCAACCTTGTTTTATATTTCCAACTAAGGAATATCAGACACAATTATATTTGGCTTAGATGGAAAGTTCCAAACAATAGCGTCATGGTATGAAGGTCAGGTAGCAGTAGGAGGATACCTAGAATTAAGTCCACAACAGGAGATATGAAATAAAAATGAGCCCACAACTGAGACAGTTCAGTTTGTTCCGGGTTGAACTGGTTCTGTTGCTGTATTTTGATTTATTTGTTATAAAAACTTACATCACACTGAACTCAGAGGAATGCAAGTGTTTTAATTGAGACTACACTGGCAAAGGGTCTGAGCTCATATGGCCCAGGTGAAGGTTTTATTTCTCTTTTTATTTGTCACAGCCCATGTAAGGTTCTTCAACTAGATCATGTATGATTTTTCTTGTTGCCCAAAAGTTAGTAAAACTCTTTCAAACTGCTGCTGTTTGTTTCCGAGTCATAAGTTTCATTATCCTGTGCCCTCGATTGAAACAAAAGGGACGTTTCAACCAAACTTTCGTCATGGGACCAATACGTTTTAATGAACAGATCATAAAACAAGAGTTAAAACAACACGTGTGAGGAAAATATTACAGGCAGTGAAATGCATCCTAAGTTATGGGGGGTTAAGTAAAGTGAGCTAAATAGAGAGGCACAGCGGTGTCTGGTTCAGTGTGTGGTAGCGTGGCACAAAAGCCCCGCTGATAAGGCTTTGTGAAATGAGGCACTTTTCAAAGGTATTTCAAAAATAACACTTTCTGCAACACTTGGTGGGTGAACAGTGGTTGGAAACTCTTTCACGAATTCAAAAGATGGATTAATCTCTTCAGCGCCGCACAGTGTGGGCTATTATTTCATACAGGGCTAAAAAAAAAAAAAAAAAATGGGCGAACAATTCCAGCTCAACTCTGCTTCACAACTATGGCCCTCAGTGCTGAGCCAGACACCATATCAGCCTGTCCTTAACAAGACCCCAAACTAATTTATAGTGTATATGCCTCACTACACCTACCAGCACCCTGCTGTATAAGGAGTAAGAGGATTTCAGTGCAGAAAAAAAAACAACCCCAGATGAGTGCAACCTGCTGATGTGCAGCAAAGGAGGGTGGTGTTATGCTTTGCCATTGTTGACTGGTCTCAAGAGAAGCAGATTTTAGTCTGTTTCAATCCTCTGTCTGAACTCCAGCAGTTTTGTTCAGAGTTGTCACGATCAACCTGTTTTAATTAGTGGATGAAACAGTGTGTCAGCGCTGAATCAAGAAGCTGTGCTGAAGTTGTTTGTGATTTACTGTGCTAATCAGCTTAATTGGAACTTGGATAATTACACATTAAGACACAATTAAATATTATGAATCTCTACTTTGGCGGAACTTTAAATTAGCTAAATTAACTAATGGTCATTTACATTGCATTTTAGGCGATGAGAGGATTTACACTGGCAGCTGAGGAGCTTTTTACCCTGAAATGAGACATCCAGGAAGATAATTAAGTGAAACCTTGCTCGTGTGAAAGTAAAAGACATAATGGGCAGCTACTGAAGCTGTCACTTGATTAAAAGATGGTCCAGTATTTTAGAGGAGAAATGTTCCTGACTGTTTAAAATTCATCATATAATGTTTTTTTTTCTGCATTAGAAGT